ACACGGCTAAGTCAATAAACTGGGTGACGCAACTCACTAGCGCGTTGGATCGACGGAGAGCACCGATACTCGGCACGCTCTACCGTACTCTCTCGCTCGCACACCTCCCTCCCATAGACCACCGAAATTCCTCGGCACCCGTCAACACCGACGGAGAGCACCGATACCGCGGCTCGCTCTACCGCTCTCGCTCGCACGCCGTGACGTCACCCGATTCCCGGAATCCCGCGGCCACGAGACGGCTCATTACGGTAAGGCATTCCCGCAACGGCCAAAAGGTAGATTTGATAAACTACTTATGAAACTACATCTATTCTGAATTTATCTGTTACGAATATACAAGTGTGAGGCAAGATATAAAAACGAATGAAATCCATTAACGATGCATTTAGAATAAATTGTCTTGTAGTTAAGTGAAAAAATATATACTTTTCCGTTTCATGTTTCATGACTGTCATATTTATCCCTTAACCTTAAACTGAAGCATCGGATATTTTTATTCCCGTCAAATCATATAGATACACGCAATATAAATGGAATATATAACATTTCATTTGTGCTAATAATACTCAGAATTCATGCTTTATCAGTAACGTCGGGTATTGACACTAAAATGGTAAGGGAGCTTCTGACGTCCTCGAAGCATGGGACAGAAAATTACATTGTATCTTAGGTTTATTCTTATATCTCGTCTGTGGTAGAGCTTATTAAGGGGGTCGTAGAACCCCCGGAGCATGCAGAAGAGACCCCGTGTGGGTGGGATGTACACTGACGAGCAAACTCGATTTCCTCTAGGAGAAAAGCTTAGTGCAGCACACAAACTCAGGGACAATGAATTCCCGGGCGTGAAAACTCTCATTTCCTTTCTGTTGATAGTAATAACGCATTTAATTGATACTTAATTAAATAAGTGACATTGAAAGGAGATGTATAAAGATTCGAAATAAATGTAAAATACCTGAATAGGCTGCAATAAAAATACATTCCACAAGCTGTATGTTTATTAACTTTCCTAGCAACCAAATGCATTGTGCAATGAAAACGAATATTTTGGTAGGATCGATAGAGCAGGAAGTATACTCCTAATCAGAGAGAGTTTGCAATCTAAAGAAGAATTTTCATAGATCGCAGTCTTCTTTCTTACTCATACTGCCTTATTCATGTTCGTACAATGATATTCGTGATATTCGTGGTTGATATGTTTTATTATTTAGGTTAGCTGTCTAATCGAAAAGCTCAGTACCCAGCTATTATATCGAAATCTTGAAGATATGTCGTCTTATTTTGAAAACTTTGAGCCGTCATGTGTATGGTTCGAAATAGGCGAGAAGCGTAATATACTCGCGTCTATGTTGGCTGGAACATTGGTAAACACTAAAGTTTACATTGTATTGAATATGACACTGACATTATATCATTATCTCTTTTTTTCAGTTAATTGCGCACGTAATTCTTAGTGATTTACAATATTTATTTATAACAGCATTTTGATTCGTAGTTTGCTACATGTTTGCATTCTTTGTGACAATTAATTAATGACTATGGTACTCAAACTTATCATTCAAACTTCTTACCTTTTATAATTTCAGTTCTCTGTAGGATGGTGGTTCATCATTGACGCTCATGCCAAATATCCTAGCGAAATGCCAAGTGCATACCATTTATGTGGAGTATTTGGAACCCTTTCTCTTTTTATGTAAATTAATAATACTATTTAATTAATGTTTCAACATTATTTTAGTGTTTTATTTATAATCATATATTTTATAACCTAGGGTTAATTCTGTAACAAATGCACAAATAAGAGGTGAGGGATACAATGGTGGATACTTAGGAACTAGAGGTGCAAAAGGTTGGTTATTCATTGGATTTGTAATGGGATTTGCTGCAGTAATTGCAGCCTGTTGGATTTTGTTTGCAGACTTCGTAGCTGCAGGTTTGTATGTTACTTCCAAGTCATTGTTCATGATCATAATATTCAATAATATTAATTATATTATTTCAGAGGCAAAACATCATTGGCCTGGTGTAGGTCTCTTTTTGCAAAACATATTTATTTTTCTGGGATCCCTTGCATATAAATTTGGAAGGATTGAAGAACTGTGAAGATAAACAATATTTAAACATTGTCAATCTTTTTATGCTTTGCACAGAAGCTCCTGGTTATATCAGACTTTAAAGTGCAATACTTGAAACCATGGAGCAAATGATTATAAACACTACCCTATGTATGAACTGAACTTCTTTGTACTGCACATATTACTTATCTATAAAAAATCAGTTTAAATCTAACTAATTACCATATATTTATATATATATATATATATATATATATATATATATATATATATTTATCTATATATATATATATTTATTAAAAACCAAGTACTATACTGTGCAAGTAAAACTAGCTTACAGAATACTTAATCATAATTCTGTGTGATAATGTTACATTAATATAAAACAGTAATAAATAGTCGAACAAAAGCTTTATATTTAAATGAACACACAAATATATTATCCTTATGATGAGTACTAATAAAACATACAATGTAAATTTTGCATTTATTTGTATATATGACTGAAAATAACTGTATTCTAATTTTGAAATAAATTGCGTTTCCCTTTATTACTAAGTTTATGTCACTTTTTGTTTACATATTATATATTTTTAAGAAACAATTTTTTCAGGGTTTTGTGACATTTTTAAATACTTATTTTGTGATGGTGGGAGTAAAATAACGGATTATTGGTTTTGATTTGCCAACGCGGACCAATATGAACGTTTTCTTCCATCTTATTTTACCAATCGCGTTGTGCCACACAAACACATTGCTCTTGTTCAGTTTGATGAAACGTTTTGCGGGAGTGCGTTCTGTTTTTTTCTTACGTTGAAAAAGATTGAAACGAACGTGTATTCATGCTTGATTGTTTAAGAACAAACGTTTTCCTATCATCCGGCTAATTTCTTTCGAACATACGTAGAAAGTGAGTATCACCGAAAGGTACTTGACACCGTTATTCGAGATCGTTTCTCGAATCCCCGGCTACCATAACCAACTTTGACAAGTCTTATAGGAATCCTCGTGCCATTGAAAGATCATTCATTGCGCGTCTACGAACACTTTATATCAATGAAAATTGTGCTCTACACAATTTTCTTATTTATTATTTAAAGGTTGTTAATTCCACTTATCGCATTTTTTATTCATTACTTTACTCAGATTACAAATTCTTTCGAGTACTTACTGCGAAACATGACACTTTTCTTCCCATAAGTATGTGTTCAGATTTACTTATCACACTTGCGTATATTATTCTAATTTGAAAATATCTTCGAATTTCTAATTTAATGTTCACAAAAAGCAATAAATAAGCATCTATTGATCTTGATGTTTACGGCTACATTTTTCGTGTTGTCTCCTCGCTCAATTAAATAAAAAAACAGTGTACTTAGCCTTATTAGCCTTGTTTCTGTTTATAATGTTATCTACTTAAGTTATATGAATGATGTATTGTGAAATAAATGTATTGGACTGCAAAATGTAGAAACAAATAATAGTTTTACATGTGCAAAGAAGACAAGAATTATAACATATGATATGTATTTGGTATTTGATTTTTATTTTAGATGAATCTAAATGAATTAAGAATGTCCATCGCATGGTTGTTATTGATTACCATTGCATGTTTTATTGGTATCAGCAATGGGGTTGCTGTTATGAGTATTGACATTGGCAGTGAGTCGATGAAAGTTGCCATTGTTTCGGTAACTATGAATTGTTTTCTGTTTAATTTCACATTTTCATAAATTTATCTAATCATGATTTTTACTGATGATATTGAACAATGCTTATTACAGCCTGGTGTTCCCATGGAAATAGCTCTTAATAAGGAGTCAAAGAGGAAAACACCAGTTACAATTGCTTTCCGAAATGGTGAAAGAAGTTTTGGGGAAGATGCTCAAGTAGTAGGAATTAAATCACCTCAGAGTAGTTTTTCTTACATACTAGATCTTCTAGGAAAATCAATAGATAATCCTATGGTACAACTTTTTAAGAAAAGATTTCCATACTATGATATAATTGCCGATGAAGAACCAAATACAATTGCATTTAAACTTAATGAAAATGTTACTTACACACCAGAGGAATTACTTGCACAAATTTTACATAAGGGAAAGGAATTTGCAGAGAATTCAGCTGGTCAGAAGATTAGTGAAGCAGTGATAACTGTACCAGGATTTTTCAATCAGGTTGAAAGAAGAGCTCTTATGCAAGCTGCAGATCTTGTAGGAATCAAAGTACTGCAACTAATTAATGATTATACTGCTGTCGCATTGAACTATGGAATTTTTAGAAGCAAAGAAATAAATGACACTGCTCACCATGTTATGTTTTATGATATGGGAGCAAGTAGTACAACTGCAACAGTCGTTAGTTATCAAAATGTAAAGACAAAGGAGAAAGGATTTGTTGAAACTAATCCACATGTTACTGTTTTGGGTGTTGGTTATGATCGTACTTTGGGAGGACTAGAAGTGCAAATTAGATTGCAACATCATCTGGCAAAAGAATTTGATGCCTTAAATAAAACATCAAATACTGTATTTAGTAATCCAAGAGCTATGGCGAAGCTTTTTAAAGAGGCTGGTCGTGTTAAGAATGTGTTGAGTGCAAATACAGATCACTATGCTCAGATTGAAGGATTGATAGATGAACATGACTTCAGGCTGCAAGTCAGTAGAGAAAAATTAGAACAACTCTGTTCTGATGTATTTGAACGAGTTGCAGACCCAATTAAAATGGCTTTGAAGACATCAGGTATCCAGGAATAAGTTAAAATAGCACTTAAAAATTTGTTCAGATGTTATGTTTATTATATATTAATATGTATTTTTCAGGTTTAACAATGGATACTATATCTCAAGTAGTGTTAGTAGGAGCTGGTACTAGAATGCCAAAAATACAAGAACACTTAAGTCAGTATTTAACTGTAGAACTGTCTAAAAATATCAATACTGATGAGGCAGCTGCATTGGGTGCAGTGTATAAAGCTGCAGATCTTGGTAAAGGCTTCAAAGTAAAGAAGTTTGTTACTAAGGATGCAGTTCTTTTCCCTATACAAATAGTTTTTGATAGAACTGTTGATAACAAAGTGAAACAAGTAAGATATAATTTCCATATAGTGGTTACCATGCTGGATCTTAAGAAGAAAAATATAGGTACAAATTTTTATAAATGTGCAACTTTTAGATTAAAAAGTCGCTGTTCAGTAAAATGAATCCTTATCCACAAAAGAAAATCATTACATTTAACAAGTATACAGAAAATTTCCAATTCCATGTTAATTATGCTGAATTAGATTATTTACCTCCTCATGAAGTAGCGTAAGTAGTTGAACCACTCATTGTTTATATACATACTTGCATTTATTAAGGTAATATTTTTCTTTTTTTTTTAGTGCTATTGGCAACTTAAATCTATCGACCATAACTTTGTCTGGTATAACTGAAGCTTTAGATAAACACGTCAAAGAAGGAGCGGAAAGTAAAGGGATTAAAGCACATTTTGCTATGGATGAAAGTGGCATACTTAATTTGGTGAATGTAGAATTAGTATCAGAAAAAACAAGCTCAGCTCCTGATGAAGAAGAGGGTACTTTCTCAATACTTGGCTCAACTATTAGTAAACTTTTTGCAGGTTTGTGCCAAATGCTTTGCAAAAAATGATGCGTTTATTTTATTACCCTACATGATTAACTGTATAATTTTATTTATATTTTTTTATGTTGATTTTTATTTTATATACTGGAAATGAGGAGTAAGAACAATGGACCATGCATAACATTGATACATTTTTTGCAAACATTTATAAATACAATAATACGTTTACAATTTTTGCTTGCTGCTGGGCCGTATGAATATTTTTATTGAGCAAAACGAGTGTGAATGAAACATTGAGAGGGATATGAATCATATATTTCAGGCTCAGAAGATAAAGACAAAGAAGGAAAGGCAGAAGAATCAATGAAGGAAGATGTAAAACCTGTTCATGAGGAAACAGAATACCCTGAATTACAGAAGGAGGCCGAAGATCAAACGAAGAAAAAGAATGAATCTACAGTTACAGAGGATAAAGCGACGAACAAAACAGAAAAAGCGGAGAAAGAGAAGAAGTCTACCATTGTAACAATTAAGGAACCCATTAAAGCCGAGGAAGTAAAATTAGGATCTCAAATTCTTTCTGGTGATAAACTGACCGAATCTCGTGAAAAGTAAATCAGTATAAATAGTAATATATACTACCTTTCTACATGATATTCAAATTGTAATGTCGATGTTATAAATTTTCAGATTACACCGCCTAGATGTCTATGATTTCGAGAAAACAAAACGCGAAACAGCTTTGAACAACTTAGAAACGTTCATAATTGATGCACAACAAAGATTAGAATCTGAGGAATACGCGGTTGCCACCACTTCTCAAGAAGCAGAAAATATATTGAAAGCATGTTCGGAAATTTCTGACTGGTTATATGAAGATGGATTTACCGCGTCTGCGGAAGTGTTTGAAGAAAAATTAACGGAACTACAAAAGTTAACTAAGGACGTGTATGAGCGTGTGTATGAACATAAAGAACGACCAGAAGTATTAAAGGGCATGACATCAATGTTAAATGCAAGCACAACGTTTTTAAACAATATGCGTAACTTGAGTCTAACGAGTGATATCTTCACTCAGGTTGAGATTGAGATGTTAGAAAATGTGATCAACGAAACTCAGGTAAATTATCGTACTTTCATTTAAGAAATATACTAATTTATTATATATTTTCTTTTTCTATAATTAATTATTTAATTGATTGTAGAAATATTATAACAATGTTATTAAATCTTTTGATGAGACGGCTCTACATGAACTCGTGAAGTACAAAGTTCGCGACATTGCAAATACAATGGCGTTGCTCGACAGGGAAATGAAATATCTTATTAATAAGGCAAAGATTTGGAGACCAAAGCAAGACATTGCGACGAATCAGACAGAAAGCACAAATGAGAACGCGACAGATACGAAAGAAGAATCAGAAGCCGAATCTATTCCTAAACCCACGACTGATCCTGAAAACGAAAAACCAATAGAGTCAGAAGCTTCAGAAAACTCGTCGCCGGAAAATGAAGAGGCTCAGTCGAGTCACGCAAGTGCCCAGGAAGGGGTACATCAAGAACTTTAAGAAAAAGAATTTATTTAAAAGTGTGTGATCTTTTATTATTGGCCGATCCTGCTCGGTTAATAAATTAGGCAATTTAATTATGTTGTAGGACAAGTTTAAAAGATGCATTTAAAGAAACCTAAATCAAATTCACGAAATTGTGTTATTATGGCTGGATGAATTATTTTGATTGTAAGAAAACAGTTCATTAATTCTTCAGATAAAAACACAATAGAATGAATATTTCGGAAAGAAAATCCGACCTTACTGTTTGTAAAAGGTTCTTTGTTTTTTTTAAGTGCCAAGTAGTTACTGTCTGTCTCAAGATTATGTATGAACATCGTTCGATAACTGCAGAAAATATTTAAAATATAATTACGCCACAATCAAACAGCAAGTTTTTTACAGTCAAGCAAATTTCTTATTAAAGTCATTATTTACAAATGACAAAATGTGCTACTTGGTCGAATTTCATCTATTGTGGATATAATATTTAATTGTGATACTTCTTGATACCATATTCTTAGATATATTGTATGCTGTAGCTTAAAACTGATTTTTTTACAAACACCTACATCGAGCATTATAGTTAAACACGGGCTACGAATGTCTGGGAATGTCTTTGTCAATAACAATCTAATGTTTTACTCTGTATTAATTTTTACATTCCTAATTAATTAATCCTCGCTACAAGACGCCTAACTTCTGTATATTGCACGTATACTCCATTGTACAAATAATGAAATTCATTTTAGAGTACAATGAATACCTATGTACTGAATTCTGTAAACGTTTAATATAGACAATTTGTTATACAGACGGTATTAAGCGAGGTGAACCGATGTCTGTTCATATCATTTGGGAATTCGGTAATTGATTCGAATCATTCCAATGAATACCGATGTAATTTAAAGCCCTCGATTATGTTATTTATTACATTTCGGTGAATAAAGCAGTGTGTAAGATATTGATGAAGCTAATGCTGAACAAACAAATGCAATGTTTTCGAATTTAATAATTGCAAGGAACACATAGACACCTTATCTTGTGAAAGAGTCTTCCCATAACTAAATAGACACAGTTTCAAGCTGTTGAAATAAATTAATTTCAAGACACTTATTTATTTTCAACGATTATTTATGGCAGTATTATAATTAATTCTGTACGATTCGTATACATATTATTAATGGACTAAAATATTTATATATTTGTACACATTATCATTACAGGAATATTTTTCTTTTTAAAGTTTAACTTTTTGTAGGCAACTTCGAATTGAAAAATTGGATTACACTCTCAATTTAATTAAAATTAATAAGATGCTATACTCTTTTTTAAATTTCCTAATACGCTATAAATGTTTAAAAACAATCATTGTACTATATATTTGGTATTTGCAACAATTACAATAAATTTATGAAACGCACTTCTATGTTCTTGATATTATCTTGATCAGAAATAAGTTACCAAATTGTAAATGTTTTCTATTCAAGACATAACGGTATTCACATAAACATTTTTTTAAAGAATACATAGTATAACAATTTTAATATAAGTTTCATAATATGTATATAATTTTAAAGTATATGTAGTATTTGAATGTCATATCACCAGATGGCTCTGATGTCGCAGTCCAGTCGAAAACCTCGAAAACGTGATGTATTGATTGTATCTGATTGTACCTATTTGATTATAACAATCACGTTTTCCATATGAATGTTTAAACAATACACATTACATATTATTAATGGGTATGCCACAGTTTTTGTATCACTTTCACTTACTCGAAATTAAGAACGAACATATATTATATTTTAACCATATGAATGATTCTGCTAGGCAAACATTTGTCTCATTTAAGTAATCATGATACTGCGACAAGTCGTTCGAACATTGTTGAAGAGAACTACCTCAATCATGGTAAATTTTTTTCCTTAATTAAAAGTATTGAATTATTAGAGTTCTTGTTTTGAAAATTACTTCAATTACGTTAAAATGTATACACAAATAATACTTCCAGAATTAACATACATTTTTTTCATTGTGTGCAGTATGCTACAAGTTTTATGTTTGAAAGTCACTCAGAAACTAAGAAGCCCACAGTAGATAATAAATTGAATTTGGATCCACCAGATATAAGAAAACTAACTGTCGAGTATATGATACAACAGTCAATATTAGATTCTATAAACAATGCATCTCAAACATTAAACATTGCATATATGGCAGTAATGAGAACAAGTAGTAAATATAAGTTTGTATATTATTATTATAAATGTACAAGGTTAATGTCGCAACATTCACATCAGTAATCTAAGTTACTTTTTAGGACCTTGTTAAGTTCACTGATTTGTTTGTCAAAGGATACTTTGGAGTTTCATGTCACAGATGAACATTGGGACACAATAGTTGAACTAAGATCAGAAGTGCAAAATGAAAAAGAACAGCTAAATGTAAGAGTAAACAAAATAAACTCGCATTACTATACAGCGATTATTATAAATATATTTAACATATATTTGTCCTTAGAAATTAACAGAGTATGTTCAGTATGTACAAAGAATGGCAATTGCAGCTTCAGATCTGAGTTACTTTTCTGGAATGGAAAACTTGTCCTCTCTTTCTAGACAAATTGATGATATTGCAAAAAGTATGCAGGAGGAAAGTGATTGTATTGCGACACTTGAAAAAGAATACAATGATGTGCAAGAGCAATGCATTAAGAACTGTGAGTAAAATAGAATTATTGTTTAAAATAAGAGCTAAATCAAGATGAATTATGTATTGCTTATTAATTATGAATTATATATTTTTCAGCAACTAATGCAGACAGTAATGAATCTAATAATTAACATGAAAGAAAGCTCTCTCATTATTTATTGTTCAATAAAAACTACCAAAAATTTACAATAAGTTATTTACTTACTTTATAGTATTTTATTACAATAAAAACTACCAAAGTAATTGGAGGATTATATAATTGAAGAGAATAAGGGATAGTAAATTATGTACAGTTCATTTAAATGACCACAGTTGCTCAAGCATCAAGATGTATTGATACAATATGTCTACCAGGTATCATTGCCAAACCAAGTATCCTTGCTTCTGTATGATCCTCGGACAGAAACTCAGAACACGATCCTAATATCACATTGGCATCACGATCAGTACATAAGAAAGCACCCATTAAGACTCGACCATCTGTCATTTTTATTCGTAGGTTCCTATTAAGCCATCCACGTAATTTTTGTCTTGCAGGAGAATCCTTTGTATTAACGGCCTATCACAATAGCATAAATAAAGTTACACTAACTTCGTTTACAATCTGTATGTCATTGATAAATAAAGAATATTTGACATTTATTAAATCCTATATAAACAAGTCAAAAGACCTATGGATCTGCAAAGGAAATGTTCTGTTTATATTGTGTTAATACTAATTTGCTAGTTTATTATTCTTTAATAACAATTAATACTGTATAAAAAATAGAAATTCAATGACATTGTAATATAATTAGGAGGTCAAGAAGCTTTTCCGTAACCTAACCCATAGTGGAAAGATATTTATCAAACATGATAAGATATATAAACATTTACAATGAAACCGACAGAGTTATAAATATGATAAATTACATATATCTATATTACCTCTCCATTTTCGTGGACGCAATCGTCGTTCGTTACGATGGAAACATTGTGCCCTTCTTTCATGTCTGCGTTACTCAAGATTTAAATAAGATGTGAAAAGTAAATTATACAACTTGATTTCCTTATCAGTTCACAGCACAAAACAGTTCTCCAAATAAATTCAACTGTCCCTCGTGCAGACTGCACGGTGCAGTATGCCCTTCTTTTTTCGTTGATACTGTCAGGGCGCATTTGCAACGAAAGTTTATCAGAAGACAACCCCTGTCGATGTAAACAGATCATTTGAAATGATCGAAAAATTAAGTCCTGACCATCGATGATTTTAATCAGCTGTATAAACTGGTCACTAAAGATTGTCTCTATCAGTTTTGTTTGATGTAACAATTTTTAAGCATCTTCTGTAATCTTCTGGAATAATAATATGCATAATGCAATATAATGTACTCGTTTTCACTTTGCTCATGGATTGAGAAGTGTGAGAAATATGGAAACCATCTAGCGGTGAGATGTCGCAACTAAATGGCCCCCGAAAGTATTCAACTTGTATGTATTGCCACCGACTAGGTATAGAATAGACTAGACTAGACCGCAGCGTTCCGCCACACGACATAACAGATTTATTGTATAACACAACACAACACAAGACAACGTTTATTTACAACTGTACAACGTTAATTATATACAAATACGTACAACTTAATTATGGTACGTCTGTTCTCTTTCATGTCATGTCAGAGGCTTTCTTTTTTTATATACTGGCGGTTGTCAGCGCAACGACTGACCGATCTACAATCGATTCTCGAAGTTGGAGGCATCTTCAGTTATAACGCGAAGCCAGGTTCGTGGTTTAAAACGTTACAACAGTATTATTAGCACAAATGGAGCATTATATATTCCATTCATAATACGTGTATTCAATATGATTTGGTGGGAATAAAAATATCCGATACTTCGGTTTAAAGGATGAATATAATACTGATGAAATATGACGCGCGAAAGTATATATTTTTTCACTTATCTATAAGATAACTTATTCTAAATGCATCGTTAATGGGCATTTTAGTAATGTTACTTTTTCCACGTTCCTTTTTTATTCGTTTTTATATTTTCTTTTATCTGATAACGTGATATAAGAATCTTAATACCCATAATATACTTAATTAAATAATGAACTTCGACCTAACTAGAGCTCAGCTAGTCAAGCTTTCTCCATAACGAATAGTTTTGATCTATTATTTAACTGGTAATATTTGTTAGATTGTACTTCATAAACTTTGGCGCCATTGTCAAATTGACAGTTTATCATAGGTGGCGTTTGAGAACCATTAGAATTAGAAGATTGAAAACTTCGAGAAGACGGCAGCAAAATTAATATTTTCCATCTAAACCGAATTGGAATCACATTTTCGGGAATAGTGTATGCCTCTTTGTTTCCCATTTATGATAGACATTCCCTTCTGAATTAATCTCGGATGCATATGAGAAAAATATATTGAAATATAATTTGGCGGTAAATATTCTATTTCGTTCAAATAGACCGTGGAGCGAGCAAGGATGCGACCAATCCTCACATTCTTCACCAACCGACGCACCAATCACAGGCCTCATACATAATCGAATCAACCAATGACAACCAGTCACCCAGCCTAACGGTCATTCGTCTCAGGGAAGCTGGACTGATTAGACGTAAAGTGATCTCGTTCGTGGCGAAGTAAGTATTATTACTTTTCACTTACAATTATTTATACTATTAGTATCTTTGTTCGCACTTTATCGTTACTTTCGTTCAACGTCTATTCAATTCAGCGTAAATAATCGTAAATTAACTCGGTATTGCTGGATTAAGTGAACCGGTTTCACGATTTCTGTTCCCCCCCGATACCAATTCGTATTTTCGCAGTTTTTGTTCAATTTGCAACCTTTGGCTACACTCCTGAGTCAATAATTGTTTCGTTGTGAATTAGTCATTGTTAATTTAGTATAATTACTTGGTATTAACGTTTATTTTCTATTTCAGAATACCGGCTAGAAAGAGCGGGCCACGGATGATATGCCAGTGGATTCTCCCATTACATGCAATTTGGAGGGAAATTGGTGAATATTGGTGATGTATAATAACAACATATGTTGCATTCCACTGCATATTTTTGTTTTAGTGCATTGTAAATGTTTTAACCGTAAATATCGCGATTTGGTGATTTAACTTTGCTAAAATCGAACAAGAATTTTTTCGAGAAATTTTTGACGTTCAAATGCGCAATTGAAGCATTCAATATGGCTTCCTTGACCATTAGGGAATTCAAACGAGAATGCTTCTAGTCGTTTCTATTCGGAATGCTCGTACTTTACTGCATCTCGGTCGCGAAATTGTTTCAATTTTAATCATTTTACGAGTTTATCTTTACGAAGTCATCGTATTTGTATTTGTATACGGTTTCAGATGTAAATTTGATTATATAGAAGTTGCGTAGTTTATCAAGCTCACCGAAGCTTGAGTAAATAACGAAACTTTTATATTTGCAATGATTATCTGAATATTTATCAAATTCGGTACGTGATTTAGACGGAAAGAACAAGCATTATTAAACTCTAAGAACGAATGTCAATTAAATTCACATTTGCAAAGTTCTCATTGAATGGCAATATTTTCAGGGTAAACACTTGGTGTAATATAAAAATAAAAAGGATAAGCCGGTGCATGTGCGCCGTATTGTGTTTCTTTCCCCTCCTTTTTTTTCAGAGTTTGGTGGCCGCGCGCAAGGCGGTTGAGTCGAGTCAGTGTTTACATCGTACAAGTTTCTTCTGTTTACGCGGAGCGAACTGTATCAGATTACAATCTCACCGGAGATGTCGTTAGGTCCTCGTGAAAGTTGAGTCAGTGTTTGTTGCGTACAATCTATTACTTTCAGAGTTTCGGGATACTCTGCTTTTTAAGTCGCGACACTAGAGTCATTCGTTCGCCGGTTGGAATCTTCGGTCGCGATAGTCTTTTATATTAACTTTTTTTCTTTCTGAAAGTATTCGTTCGCGGTGGTAGAGTCAGTGCATCACTGAAGAGGATGTTTTTGGGCGATGCTCTGCAAATGGACATTGTAAGTACCTTTATATTTTATTATTTACACTGTTCAACTGAAACAGCTAGAATTTTCAGAAGAGGTTATAACGAATTCTGTTCCTTTTTTTTCAGATTTTTTCAGATACTGCATAAACGACCACTACAGAGGATGTTCTTAAGCGAAGCTACACGATTTTTCGAGATTCTTCCAGTCTTATAGGGAGCTCTTCTATCATCGGGTGAGTCGCATGCTTTTATTCCTCCAGTCCCCAATCATGTCGTAGGACGATTGGTCCTAAACGGCACGGGCGACTGGTTGTATACGTGCTTTTGGCGAGTGCAGTGAACGCGGATATGCAATCGTATGATTGCATATTCACAAGTAGTATTTGATCTGTTATGTTTCTTAGTTAGGTTAGGGTCTTCTTGTACGCCGCGCTTATTATTAGTAATATAATTCATAAATATTTTGTATTTAAAGTATATTTATGAGTTAAATATTCAATGTTTGGTATGATGCAGACAAAACCACATTGAATATGTTGTATTTTTTTTAGTGCTTCTATTTAACATGAGATCTTGACATTTCAAACTAGAGCGATCTATTATTTAAACAATTGTTATTTTTTGATTAATTGAGTATATATCGTGGTAGTACGTTATTCATTTCACTAAAAAATGCAGTAATTTGAAGATGTTGCGTACAATAATTTCATTGTAGTCACTTCAGTATATTGTATACTCATTTCCATTTATGAATATAGCATGAAATAGTTCTACATAAAGAGAAATACAGAATATAGAAAATACAATAAATTCGCAATGGCCTATAAATAACGGTCAGCTGATAAAAATAATATTCAAATCATTAATGTGTGCAAATAAGTATCGTCGGTAGATTCTTATACAGAGTAGAAAGAACGAAAACCACACCGGTATGTTTGTGATAGAGAGGAAAACGTGGTGGTGCTTTCCTGGATAGGTATGTGTAGCAGTTATCGCAATACCACGAGACGCGACAGCACGTTTCAATCCCGGAACCAGTGTCGCGAGACACAAAGGTATCATTCGTATTTGCAAGTTCCATGAAATAGTGGAACACGTGTATTGGGAATCGCAATAAAGTATCGGTGCATAAAAAGAAGACGTATTAAGTTATGTCACCTGTGCATCGATATGCACGCCCTAGTGAAAAACCGCGTGTTATGGAATAATTTAACACGTTGTGCATGTATGACCATTGAAAAGTGCATTGCGATTTCCAGTTATCGTGGCCGATGTTTTCGTTGCCACTGGCAAAGAACGCATTCGGTTACGTACACGGGTAGAGTAATGAAACGTACTGGCGTGTACTCACGACCACTTTAATGGAGTGTGAGCGTTAAATGCAGGGAAGGTACTACTGTGTTTCACCAGCATGTATTGTGTTCTACAAACATATTTGTGTGGTAGACGTATATACTCAGAAGGAATGAGTATTTATATTCTGCCCTTTAAAAAGGACAGGCCTAGGGGTGTCCATCTACTACTTATGCGCAGCATTCTTCCTCTCCGGAGGTACCCTCACTATGGGAGTTGGATTGACTCACTCGGGTCAATGTGAGGTCGGTAGTCTGGGAAACCTACGAGGGGAAGCTTGTAATTGCTTGTGGCTCGTGGGTGGCCTTTGGACACCTTTGGTATTAGTGTTAATTTTTATGATAGTTAGTCTGTTAATAAAATTTTATTTTACCCGTTAGTGAGTTAATGATTATTTTCAACAGTTAGACCGTCATTTGTAGACAAATAACGCAAAGGAAAATAACTTAAATTTATTTACTATTTGAATACAGTACCTATATGCATAATATGTATGTATATCAGTTTACTGTGAAGAAATTTAAGATTAATATGTGTCTTCATTGATATTTTTAATATTGTATCTACAATTCTACATTAGCAATTTATACTAAATTATATTACAAATACGTACTACCACGTTACTCGACGACAGAAATAAAAAGTAAGTAGTGTATTTTGATACACGTGGATTAAGCCAGACTGTAACGTTCTGGATAAATATGGTATTACAGACCATGTACAAGAAGGCATTTCGTGACGGGTAGATTTCTGCGTCAAAGTAACATGTCTGTTGCACTTATGTTATGTCTTCCATTGGCTTTGACGATGGGATCACCCGAGGCTTGTTCAATACGTAGTCATTTATCTTATCGCAGAATCTTCTAATTTCTATAATATTAATAAATAGTCTATCTTTGATCTTCAATTTTGATTAATACAAAGTCGAGTCGCTTATATTGCAAAATGAAATGAAAAAGAATAAAAGAGAAGTAGCCCGTTAGAAGAGCAAAAAGTAATAATTATTTTAGTTAGGATTTTCAGGATA